ATAGATAGATAGATAGATAGATAGATAGATAGATAGATAGATAGATAATATATATTCTGGAACATGAGTTTTGGAACCTGCCTTTTCTTAGTGTATGTGACGCTGAGGAATCTATGCAGAAGGGGAGGTAGAAAGATCGTAAGAGCCAGAGGTGATGGCTGACTCCAAGGAGACAGTCTTTTCCAGACACAACTGGACTTACACATACATGCGTTCAAAGAGATTGTGGCCGCACAAGTGGCTTTGTCACAGTTCTCAGGTGCTTATGTTATCAGATTCATTAGTTGCATCATTTTAGGTTGCACCGCAGGCGTGAGCTCTGTTACAACCATTGTTTTTGTTCACGTTCATAAATTCAAGTCATTACATATAAGTTTTACATAGTTTATAAGGAGTTTTTTTTTTTTTTTTCACATCACAATGCCATTTCTCCGCAAGCCTCCGAAACACACGCAGGGATTAGTCCGGGTGCTAGAGTATGTGGTTTCTGTCCTCACTCTGGAACCTGGAGCGTGCTTCAGGGTGCCAGCTGGTGCAGCTCCGCTTGTGAGTGCAGCCCTGCCCATCTGCAGTGTGGAAACTTGTGGGAGTGGTTCCCTTGGCTGCTCCTGACCTCTGCGACACCTTGGTCTGCTTTGACCTCACCCACACTGAAGTGACGTAAATCAGATTTTTGACATGCTGTAAAGTGCAAGTCACAGCTGCCGAAGCCCTTAGTATCCAAACACTTGTGAAACGCTGCATGTCTAGCAAAGTTTACTTTCTTATGGGAATATAATTTTTTTGTTGAGGTAAGCCCTGTTTGTTTGGGGGGAGGGAATAAGCCAGTGATTATACAGTGATTACTGTGTTTGTGTCTGTTCTCTCCCTCTCCTTCCCCCCCCCCCCCCCCCCCCCCCCCCCCGTCTGTAAAAGAGATTGGCTCCAGAGGACTTTAATACTGCACATGTTCCTCTATAAAGTAACAGGATAGACTTTGGCTACAGTCTTTGTACTAAGGGCTTGTGATCTTAATGTGAGGATAAAGGCTTCATCTATTTTAATGCCTCCGTTTCTGTTACAGTAGCAAACTTCACACACAAGCACGTCTCCTTATTTGCCTTGTCTTGCCAGACCTCAGACACTGTTTGTCGCTTGGTGGCAGGCAGAAGGCATAACTTCCGCTCAATGTGGAGGTGCTCTTCTAAAGAAGTGCAAACTTTTTAAATGCCTGTTGAGATTTTTCTAGAGAATGACCATTTTCAACAGGTTGGGAGGTCACAGGTTCCTCTTAGAAGTTAGGCTTCCGAGAGCTTCGGGGTTTAGGAGGCACAAATGCCCTTGGGATGACTCAGTTGAGTGCCGCTGAGTGTCTTCACAACATTCTCAAGCAAGACGCCGTGAGGCTGAGGTCTTCATCGGAAGCTAACCTTTTACACTGCTCTGTGTTTTCTGTTCATGTCTCAGCACTGTGTATGTATCTATAATGCTCAAATTCTGTCATGCATGTCTTGTTTTCAATAGTTTAGCGTTTTGCTGATTGAACATTTTGACACTTTGTAATGCCCTCAAAACAGGATAATTTCCCCTAAAATATAAATTTTAAATTATTTTAGGTGCTGTCTTTCAACCCTAATCCTTTCACCAAGAATGAAACTATTTAAAAATTAAGATGTCTACAGGTAATTTCTTGTAAGTTCCTACTTTTTGTCTATGTGTGAGTTTTATTTAACAAGAAAGTAATGAATGTGTATTAATATAAAGCTATATTATCCCCCATGCAAAGTCTTCCAAAAACATTGAATAGTTTAGCTTTAAAAGATTATATAACATGAAACTATTTTGTTTTTTACTGATGTTTTACTGTTTTTATTCTTTTTACAAAGTGACAGATTCTATCATTCTGTTATGAACTTCTCAATAAGTGAATGAAATGTGAATAAAAACAAATTAAGAGGTAGTGATTCGGGTTAGGTGAGTTCCGCAGGCATTAAAGATGTCTTGTTGCAGTGCAGTTAAAATCAAAGACATTGACTCCAGCTGTGACGGTCACATTCCACCCTCAATTTTAAAATGTGTTGCCTTCCTGGTCCTGGTGGAACAATGATCGCCATTTTATTTGTTAGTAAATTACTCCTAGGCTATTGGGTAATGTTAGAAGCATTGTTATAAAAAAGAAAAGGGAGTCTAAAAAAAAATGTTTGGGCCAGTTTACTTTCTTAACACTCGATTCTATGATATTTTTCTTTTTCTTTACATTTGTATCCTTTTTTTAAAAAAATATACTTTCATAGTTGCGATGTGAAGCTGAAACAAGTTTTTCTTGTTTCTAAAGTAAAAGGAAAATTTAAACTTTTCGAATTCAGACTGGAGATATCTCGCTCCTTGCAATTATATCTTAACAGGTATCAATATTTTAAAGGTCATTCTACTAGGAAGGTTTTTTTTAATGGCATGTTACTTTTTAATGCCAAGTTGAATGTCAAATGGAAGTAAGGCCACTTTCTTCTTCACATTAGATGATTCCAGATCATGTTTCAGACAGAAATGACCAGGAACTGGCAACATGTAATTTTAAAGCAATATGATGCTCTCTTTAAGGAGAAGTTCTCAACTTTCCCATGTAAATAGTAGTTGATGAAGACAGAGTAAGGAAAGTTCAGAGATGAAAGAGAAACTGAAGCTGGAGAAAAAGCAGGGAAAGAGGAAAGCGAAAGAGAAAACATGGTTCTTCTCCTTGATGCTCTGAACATTGTAGCTTATATCTAAGCAACAGGTTAAGTTGTCAGTTCTACTCAAGTCCCCAGTCTCTCCAGCTATAAGCTATAACTGAAATCCCCTTGCAAATCAAACCTCTGCAATTGTTTCCTTTGTTTTTTGACATTGATATGCATAAGAGTTTTTTTAGAAATCAGAGTCTGTTTCAATTACCTAAGTCTTTTCCCACTACAATTTCAGATTTTTTTTATACATGTTTTGAGACATAAAAAGTAAGATAGGAATCTAAATACCTCTTTGTCTAGGAAGTGTCTAAGTACTACAGAATCTCTGGCCTGTGCAAGGCCAGACATGTCTTATACTAAGACTGTGCTTTAATAACTGTGAAGATTTCTTATTTCTGTTATATAGCTTCTAAATTTATTATTGTCAATGTCCATATCCTTGGGACACAATGACTTTTCTTTTGAAGGAATAGACACTCTTGCCCAAGAAATAAGGAATAAGATTGTTTTACTTTGAGGGGGAATAAAAATCATTCTTTTTTTTTTTTTTAAGTGCTGCTTCACTGTTAGATGAGACATCCCCATCCCTGACGGTGTCAGAAAAGCGTTAACCGTCTGTGTTCACGTGCATGTGTGTTGTAGATCACGAGGAGCCCTGTGGTCCCGGTCACAGGTCATTTTGCCTGAATGGGGGGATGTGTTATGTGATACCTACTATTCCCAGCCCATTCTGTAGGTGAGTGACGTGGACTGGGGGAGAGGGTGATTTCTGCCTCGTCATTTGATGACTTAGAAGGGATCTTAAAAAAAGGCAAAGGGTGTAAGATGAAGGGGAGTGGGGAGGCTGTCGTCTTTACGTAGACAATTAGAAGAAAACAAATCGAAGCGGCAGATGAAGGGCTCAGTGTGGTGTTTGTTTTCAAACCTGTTTGGTATTTACCAGCCGTGGCAGACTATAAAGAACACATTGGAGAGAAGCTTCTGAGTGATGTCGGTTCACGGGAAGTGACCTGTTCAGCATTGCCAGCAAAACATCATGAGAAATCACTAGTATGAAAATTCCAAACAAGACATTTAAATATAAGACAACTGCCTGGACTTTAACCTTCTCTTCTAATAGATAGTAACTACTTTTTTAGGAGATTGAAAGCCATCGCAGTTCATCCTCTGAATTCTAACTGTTGGGTTCTGAGTTTAAAATGTTTCATTATGACTTCTTTAACCTGCAGATACTACTTCTTTCTTATAACCCACAATGCATAATTTAATCGCACTGTGGCCAGAATAGTTGAACCATAGAGCTGTCTGCACCAAATAAGTTAAAAGACAGCACTAAAGCCAGACACGTGGTGCACGCCTTTAACCCTAGCACTAGGGAGGTTGAGGCAGACAGATCTCTATGAGTTCTGGGCCAGCTTGGCCTACATCGTGAGAACCTACCTCAAAACAAGAAAAGACAGCACTGAGAAGGCCAGGATTTGGGGAGTCGTTAAAATGGGAAGGGAGCCTGGAAAAATGTGGTTTCAGTACATTCCCGAAAAGTTACCCCCAATGAAAGAGAACAGAAAGTTTGCTGGTAAAGACTAAATTTAAGAATGCATCTGGTTTCTTCCTGATTTCCCGTTTTGAACAGCAGTTGACACCATACTGAGTTTGTCACAGCCAGAGAACGAGACTTTGAAGGCTGGCCACCATATTGTGTGGACATAAGTTAGTGGGGTTGGCCCTATCTGGCAATGAATGAACCATGTAACCGAGAGCTGTTCCACACCCTGGAGAAAGAAGGTTCGTGGCTGAATGACACGGCAGGACAAGGATGATTGAGAATCAAGGCCTAGAGTGTCTGACAGTTCAGGGGAGTTGAATGGCAGACATATTTTAAATCGTATATTATTTTACTAAAAAATTTGCCTTCCAAGGACCTTAGGACCACATTTCGAATATACTTGTCATTATAGACTATAATAGCAATATCTGAAGGTGATAAAGTCATTTTCCATTCCCTCCATACTATTTCCTGTATCCCAATCATCTGGTCATCAAGAAACCCAGACTCATTTCCAACTAGTATTGCTGGTTCAGCCAGGTGTTGATTCGGATTTCTTCTTTGCCCTTTCTCTTTAATCTCTCCAGCATTTTCTGTTTTTACTATTCTCTACTAGCTCAGGCCTTCCTGACCGCTGATTTGTCTGACAAGAACAGTTTCCAGATTAACTCCTAGAGCCCCCTCTGCCTCTCTGTACCTGATAAATCAAGAAAACAGTAGATCCTACCCCTGCACGTTGACTACCTCTGAAGTAAAACCTTACTGTTTCGAGTAACTTTTAGAGCCATTCGCAGTTTGATACCAACCCAACCCTCCCATCGTGGCCTTGGCCTCATGCCTGCCCAGTGCTTGATCTAGAAGCACTGTTTGTATTAGATACACTATGCATTACATTGCTTACCTTGAATTCACGACTATTCTGCCTCCTCTTTGTATGTAGCCATATTAAAAACCTCCTTGGATTTCAAGGCTACCTCTTTCCCAGTCCTTGACCCCGTCATAAATCAGAGCTCGCTTCTCCCTGTGGACATGTACAGAAATGTGAGGAAGTTATTACTCTACATCTGGCATCATTTATATACTCGGCGCTTTCACTGAAATATAAACAGCCCCCGTGTGCCTCACCACCTGCAGACTGAATGACCCATTATCCATGGTGAAGCTTAGGAAGCATTCTAAGTCTTCTTCGGTGAAGCAGGTAAGTGAGTTATTAAAAAAAGAAGAAACTCTACAATTGCGATGTCTAAGAATGCTTTACAGCTCTGATCTACCCTCTCCATGCACACAGTAAGTGGCATTTTCTCCTGGTCTGCACTGTTTCATGATCGCACTTCCTCAGAACATTCTCTGTCTGTCTTTAGAGACTTTAACTGGGTTAGTCTTTTAAATAAGTGACGTTCAGCTAACACTTTAACTGAGTAACTGATATTAATTTTTCTGTGTTGCTTGGGCGTGGTAGCTAACCCTGTGTGTATTCTCAGCACTCGGGGGGGGGGGGAGGGGGCTGGAGGCGGGAGGATTGCTGCAGGTTCACAGCCAGTCTGGGAGGCAGCGTGGGACTCTCTTTGACCTGGTCAGCCTGTGCTAGAGGAGGACACAGATTCTCTGTGATGGGGACAGTGCTGTACGTGTCCACCGATCAACCTTCTGCCAACCCTGGTGTCCTTCCTATGTTTTTACCCGTTTGCTTTGTCGGCAGCTGAAGAGCTATGCCAAAAGTTCCTCCTGTGATTTTTGAGCCTTCAATGTGGTTTCTGCTAATTTCTACTTAAAATATTTTTGAAATAATATTATTAAGCCCATATAAATGTGTAATGGACTATTTTCTGATAAGGTTCCCTTTCCTCGTTGTACATTAGCGACCTTCCTCGACCTAATCATGCTTCCCGTCATCCCATGCGTATCTCATTGACATTAAGGTGGCTAAACCAATCGTCCCTTGCCGAGTATTTGAATAGTAGAATTTTTCCTTCAACTTTTTATTCGGTGTGTCTGTAAATACACAGGGTATGCTTAATAATCCAGTCTGAGGCACTTCTCTTTTAATAAGAGTTAATCAAAATTTGTTTTTCTGGTTATATTAAATTTTAAAATCAGTTTTCAACCATCTTTCCTTTCAATTTCTACTGTGCCTTAAAGATTCCTCCTGGTCTCTTCAGGGCGCTTTGTTTCGTTTTGTTTTAGAGCAAGGGCTCAGGCCGGCCCAGGCTGTCCCGGAACTCTTATGTAGCCCAGGCTGGCCGGGACTGCAGGCGTGCGCTGCTGCCGTGCCCTACATCCTAGGACCCTTGAACTGTGTGTGTTTAATTAGGACGTCTAACCTGTGTGGAGCCTGCTCCCACACTGCTTCCTCCTGTCTGGGATGCTGTCCTCCCCTGACTGTGACATAGGTGGGTTGGCCTGATCTGTAACGCCTCTGTGTCCTTCCTAAGCACATGGAGGGGCTTCTTCCTGTGTCCCGTCACACCGGCATCACCCCAGCACGAGGGGTAACATTTGAAATTTTTAATTTTTATTATGTCACAATTAAGCTTTTTTTTTTTTTTTCCTTTGGTCATCATATCTAAGAATTCATCGCCAGGCCCCTGTCATGAAGGTCCCCCCTTGTTTTCTTCTGAAATGTTTACATCTAATGTTTAGGTCTTTGATCTATTTTATGTTTTTTTGTCTTTGGTATGAGATAAGGTTTGTTTGTTTTAATGTACCCGTGCAGATTTTCCAGCACTCTTCAGTTAAAAACTGTCTTTTCCTCATTGAATGGTTGCGGTGTCGTGGCCATTTGTGTGAGGGGTTATTTCTGGGCTCTGATTCTGCTCCATGTGGTCCACAGTCTGCACTTGAGTTTTTATCACAATTTAATTTTTTAACAGGTATTTTATGGGGGGGGTGCGTGCCATGTCATGTGTGGGGGTCAGACAACTAGGCAGGACTTGGCTCTTTCCACCATGTGGGATTCAGGAATCACACTGGTGTTACACTGCTTGGTGGAAGCCGTCCTTATCCACTGAGCAATCCTACCAGCCGCCAGCACAGTATGTTAATATTGTACTTCTAGAATCCATTTTTAATTTAGGAAATGAGAGTTCACTAGTTTTCTTTTTCAAAAGTGTTTTGGCTAATCAATGTACCTTAAAAGTCCCTAAGAATCTTAAGATGGACTTTTTATTGTCCTATATGTGTAAGTGTGTTCTACTTGTGTGAGTATCTGTAGATGCACTGTTTTCATCCGATTACCTTGAGCACCCATGCAGCTTTGTTTGCTTGTTTGTTTATTTGTTTGTTTGTTTGTTTGTTTTAGACAGGTTCCATATGTAAGCCAGGCTACTCTTGAACTCACAGAGATCCTCCACTCACCTCTGCCTCCCAAGCACTGGGATTAAAAGCCTGTACTACCATGCCTGGTTATTTCTTCATTCTGTGTCAGCCATTATATATGAAAACCGCACAGGTAACTTAAGGCCTTTGGTGTTCTGTTCCTCCAGAGAGGATCTGCTTCTGGCAGGGGCTAGAAATTACAGTAAAAACAGGCTGGCTGCCTTTGCAACGAGGCTTCAGATTTTATGCGGACTACTTCATCTGGTTTACCATCGTGACAAGGATAAACATTAGAATCATCTTTCCAACTTCCAAAAAAAAAAAAAAAAAAAAAGAAAAGAAAAGAAAAAGAACAAAGACCTCTAAGGTCTTTAAATGAGATGATGGAATCTTTAGATCACATATGAGGAAATTTGACATCTTAATAAAGCTGAAGACTTATGATCCCTGTACATGCTATATATCCTAATTAGGTTTTCATCATTAATACCTGTTTTATAGGCGTGTTGTGATATTGTTGCATATACTCCTTTTTTTGTTTGGTTTGATTTTTTAAGACAGCGTTTCTCTGTGTAGCCTTGGCTGTCCTGGACTCACTTTGTAGACCAGAATCCCGAACTTACAGAGATTTCTCTGCCTCTGTCTCCCGAGGGCTGGGATTATAGATATGTGCCACTGTGCCAAGCTACTCCTTCTCTTTTTAAAATAGGCATTTAAATAGTTTTGGTTGGTACTTTAAATGGCATTTAAATTTTCATTTCAAAAATATTTATTCATTTTTGTTTTCTAAAATGTAATCTTTTATTTTCTAAAGATTTGGGGAGTCTAGGTATATACATAAATTATTTTTTTTTAATTTTTGTTGTACCAAAACA